ATGTGATTTAAATATTTTATAAATAATTATTTATTGAGCTTTTGCGTTTCAGAAAAAGCAGAAGTTTGTTGGAAAAAAACCCGGCATACTTTTCGTTTACTGCGTTTTTACCGTTTCTCAGATTTCAAATCCAATTCCAATTCATTCTCCTAATTATTTTTTATTTTTTAGAATGTCTGGGGTCACGTGACGTTGAAAGATTCTCACGCGCGATAAAAACTCCTCTCTTTTCTTTGACCAAAAAATCCCTCCTTTTTCATTTCATTCTTGCTTGACTTTTTTCTTGTAGAGCTCTCTCTCTATCCCCTTTTGATGAATGTAATTTTGGAGGATTTAAGTTGGTTAATTTAAGGTAGATATGGCAGCTCCAAATCCAAATATGGCTGCAATAACTGCATCCTTAGAGAAATCTCTTCAAAACTGTTCTCTAAATCACCAAGAAAGCAGCGCCGGCGGTGCTGCAGGGCTTGGCCACTCAGCCACTTCAACTTCACCGGAAAATCATCATTTGGACGCCACTTTAGAACTCAACTCTCAAATCTCACTCCCTTTCCATTGGGAACAATGCCTAGATTTGAAGGTATTACTTCCACCCCATCTTTGGACAAAAGGAAGGCATTAACTTTAACAGAATCGCTTCTTTATTTACTGTCTATCTCTTTCTTCCTTTATCTCCACATCTAGAAAAAACATGTCTTCCACTGGTCAAACCCTAAAAAGGATATCAACTTTTCTTCTATTTACCTTTTCCATTGCCTTGTATTTACTCCATCCCCCCCCCACCCCACCACCACCACCAACAAAAAAAAAAAAAGAGAGAGAAAAAGAAAAAACCCTTTCTGGGTTGTTCTTTTTATATATAATTATAAGGTACCTTTAATGCCATGTACTCGTTGCTGTTGATATCTAAAAACATGCATATATTATCTTTCGATTGATTTCTTTTTGTTTCTTGATTCTATGTGTTGCACAGACTGGTGAAATATACTACATAAATTGGAGAACGGGAATGAAAGTGACAGAGGATCCGAGGACCACGGTCGAGTACAGTGGGGATTTATACTCTGAAGACGATTGCAGCTCGTATGACAGTGAAGAGTCATCATCGGAGCCTTCGACTTCATCGCAGTGGAATGACAATCGAGATCATCAAAGCAATGAGCAGGAGAATCTGAATGTGCTTGTTGTGGCTGGGTGCAAACGGTGTTTAATGTACCACATGGTGCCTAAACAACTCCAAGATTGCCCCAAATGTTTTGGACAACTCATCTACTTAAATGGCTCCCCGTAATTATCCTTTCTCTTCAGCATGAACATGCTTTTACGTTTGCCTTTTTTTTTCCTTCAATTTTTTTAATGGAATGTTAAGAATGTGGATTTGGATGTATGTAGACTGTGGAGTTTCTGAAACCAGACAAAAGGGCTACTATTCTTATTGCTGAATTTTAGATTATGTTAAGATTTCGTGGTGTCTCGTTTTTCATTTGTTTTTAATTATTTCTTCATGCATTGCTTTTATGATTTCATTAAAGTTGCAGAGACTGTAAAAGACACAGATTGTTGATGTGTCAACCACTTAAATAATGATATGTGTAATGATTGGAACGTGTTGTTTTTATTTAGTTCTTGTTTGGACTCTATTATTTCACATTTGAAAGAGGAGAATAATAATTTTTTAGAAAATGTATGATTGAAAAAAAGGAAAAGTTTTTAAGTTTATATTTAATATTATTTTATTGAAAAATGTGTGATTGATAAGAAGAGAGAAAAATAAATTTTAATTGGACGAGAGCTTAACACAAAAAAGGCAACATTAATTTTCATAAATACATGATAGTTAGAACTTATCTAATGATACACGCGCACTTAAAATTTGAGCCATGACCAAGATGATATTGTCACCTATGTCACGGCAAAGCCGAAAAGCTAACTAGCATAACTTCACACACATACACAACCTGAATATAATATTATCATTCCTAGAAAATGAACTCCTTTATGACAACGTGGTTTAAAATTTCAACTTATCGAATCTTTCGTATCATGATAAAATATTACAATGACCCTCCAAGTTAATCACCTACAAAGTATAGTACCGAACATAATTATTCACTTCTCCATATTAATGTACAGTTGGTTCACGTAAACATACTAAACTTTGATGAACATGGAGCATTTGTGTATGAATTTTCCTCGAAAAGTAGTAGTTCTTTTGTCTTCTTTTATGTTGTTTCTGTAGAGTTGAGGCCTGACCCTTGTTTATAAAAGATTCGTTTCTCAGTGAAAGGTGTGTAGGTATATTTATAGAGGGAATCTCAATATTGGTCCACACAAGAGGTGCAAAGAAAGGAGCTCTAATCTTATAAGAAATTAAAGATAGAGATAGATGAAGGTAGGGTGGAGGCATGATAACGACCAGTCTCTACTGTACTTGTTGTGTTCATTGTCGCACTCTATCAACATCTCACTCTAACACTAGATATATAGAGAAAGGTCTATATCATGGTCAATCCTCTCTCTCTCTCTCTCTCTCTCTCTCTCTAGCAATTCTGTGTGTTTCTTTAAAAAAAAATTCAAGATGTTCACAAGTTTGAACCAGCAGAATCAATGGGTTGGTCAAAGACAAAAGGACGTGATAGTTGAAGGGAAACAATAAAGGGTCCCAAAGTTTTATGTTTACTTTTATCAACTCATCAGAACAATTGTTCTGAGTACGAATATTATTTCTTTATCCTCGCTTTTGTTCCCATCTTCGCTGCGAATCTTTCTAAACAGTTATATTGACATTGACTAAACTGTGCACAGATCCAACAACAGTGCCAAGCCTGAACACGGATTGATTTGGCTAGATTTCTACCCCAACCTGAAATCAAAATCAAATTAGTCGGTGTTTCGCGCGGGTTTACTCGCTAACAATTATAAGGGATCAGACGATTGTGTAAGGGACAAACCTCTTGGAATAAAGTCTCAAAATGGGTGTTTATTGAATATGAAGATTACAGTTTGGACACGAACAAGATGCCTCCAAGGGGCGCAAGCACACAAGTACAAGAGAATTGAAGTAATTAAAAGGTTAATCTAAGAAAAGTAAATTAGATGTTCTCTGTTTTGAGAGTG